GGGGGAACAGGAAGACACAGGGATTATCTATTCATCTGCTATTTCACACAACAAATGCTTTTTCTTTACATATCACGAGGATGATACCATAGAAAGTATTAGGATGTAACCTTGAATAAGATAGGATGATGGCCCTCCTGGATCCATTGTGGCTCTGCCTGTTGTAATTATGGAGAAGGGTGGAGTGGGGATTGTAAGAATGAGGAACAGTTTCTAGAAAGGACACTAGCACCTAGCTCAGGTGTCTCCATCTCAGCACCAAGTAGACTCACCTGGGATCCTTGCAAAGGGATTTGTTATGGATTATAGCTGTGTTTTCTCTGTAATCACTTCTGTAGGATTAAGAATAGCTGCAGACTGATATTTTGGAATAGATGATTTTCATATCTTTTTACCAGGCCTACAGGGCTTATCAAAAGTTATTTCCACATCTGTTTTTAGATCTGTGTTTAACTTAACCCTTAATTTCAATTCTCATCATTTTTAACACGTTTTGAGAGTGGGGGAGAGAGAACTGCACACAAACTCAACTGTGATGAACATAAATGTTTCCTTTTATGGGAACTGTGTGCATATACACTGGTAAATATTAATATATTAAGCTCCAGTTGGAATCTGTACTATATAATAATTTCAAGAGCAATAAAACCCAAGTTTTCCTGCCAATATAGAATTGTATCTTTTAGCTTCCTCTTTTATAAGTAGTTTTGGTAGAATGGAATATTTCTGTGTAGGTCTTCATCAGTTACTATCTATAACACAGATAGTAGCATCAAATTTCACTTATTTTCTCCATATAACTCAGAAACCAAAACAACACTATTTTCTGTTTTCAATTCCCCCCACCTTTTTCTTCCTTTAAGTAAGTCATGAAATTACCAGGTTTCCCAAGTGCTTTCCTGGAGGTCCCTTCAGGCTGATCTGTCTTCTGCTGAGGGCAAATGATGGTTGTGCAGCACCATGAGGTCGTAAGAGGTCTCTGAGTCACCAAGCACTTAATCAGGAACAGCTTGGTGTTAGTCATCGTACTTTATTATGCTGTAATTCCTTCATAATCCAAAGCTCCCAGCAGGAAAAGTCATGCAACTTCTACCAGAAGTCATTTTCACTAAAAGCTCAGATGCACTTTCTTTTGGGTACAAGCATTGACAAGTGATGGACCACCATCAGGTGAAAAGACATAACTCCAGGTAGTTGCTAAGCTAACATACCTAGTAGACTATAATGGTTGAATCTGAAGTGTCTCAGGCTTATGGTTTGTCTGCTTCGTTGCCATTTAAAGTGCAGCTTTAAAGGCTGAGGAAGCTTTAAGAGGCAGGTAGGCCCTGGAAGATTATATCTACCCTTGGCTCTGACTAGTTCACTTTTCTTCCTGGTCTAACATGATGTGAGCAGGCTACATTCAACCACCACCATGAATTCCACCAGCTTTTTCATACCATGAAGGACTAAAACTCCTAAAACTGCGAGCCAAAATGAAATTTTCATCTTTCAAGTAGTTTCTGTCAGATATCTTGGTCACTGCAACACAAAAAAGTAACTGACGTATTTTTATAGGGTAGTTTTCTGTCTGAACAAACTGACTAGTAACTGAACATTGAATGATGACTATTGGAGTTAGTTATGGACTTTTAAAACTCAGAGGAAATTATGCTTTTACTTCTCAGAAATTATTGCTCCCTTGTGAGCTTCCAAAACAAGAGTCGGAGCCTAACTGGATGTTACAGGCATGGTGGTCTGTGCCTAGTGCTGTTCGAGGAGCTCTGGTCTTTAGCGAGCTCAGTGAGCATAAGTAAGGCCATGTGCATAGGGATGGGTGCTGGAAAGCTCAACAGCAGTAGGTTTTCTGGATGACTGCTAGCCAGCAAGATGAGGTTTTTATTTCAGATATGCCACAATATTTTTACTCCAGGAGATGGCTACTAGGACCACAGAATATAGCCAAACTGCAGGGACAGTCTATCTATCCATCTATTGATTATTGTGACTTCTAATTTACCCACAGTGAATATGTATTACATTTATACTAAAGAAAAAAGTTTTTTTAAATTATTTAACAACCACATGATTAGAAGCATTTCATTACAGCATTAACATATTCAATAACAA